GAGTTACTAGGCAATTTCCATAACTTTTAAGTCTCATTCCTATTAGCTACTGTCTATATGTTTATATTTGACAATTCGAAATAAAAATACGGTTCCGCTGGGCGAGTGAATGACTGTTATCAAACAAGAACAAAAGGCATCTTAAGATGCATGTATGCTGATAAAAATGCATGTTTCAAGTTGGCCTCACATCAGCAACAATTTATACTTATCGGTGCTAGTGTACAATGGTTTTTTTGCCCTCGGGAATGTCTTTTTGCATTCAAACTGCTCTTCGACGTAAAAATACATTTCGTTTTACCAGCAAACATTTTTTATCAAGCTGAAGGCAGATTAACCGAGGGATTTTTGTGATCGAATTTTTTAGTCATTTTACTGCAAAACAATCACACCACTCTACTACTGAATGACAGAAAACAATTGGACTCTTTTCGTGAATTTTGAGAGCAACTCAGATTCTAGCTTTTTTCTTTCAAATTATTTTGCTTCACATAAAGTGTGTCAAGAATGTCCGTAACTTAATAAAATAATACTAATAATTAAATCTTCTTAAAACAAAACTGATGAGAATGTCTTCATTTTTTAAGTTTTCTTTGAGAAGGTTTGATTGCTAATTTCATAAATATGCATTCATTTCAGAATGATAACTTCTTTTCCGTCGAACTCTGTAATCAAAATCCGATCATCTGAAATTGTGGTAATACCCCAGGGCTGTTCTAGTTTCAGATCAGTACTTGTCTTTCCAATGAAAGTTCCTTCCAATGTAAACTGTTGAATGCGATTATTCAACCTGTCGCATAAGAAAACGTTGCCACACTTGTCAACACTTAACCCACACGGCCAATCCAATCGTCCATCACCGTTTCCTTTTTCTTTGACACAGTTATTATTCTTGTCAGTTACGATGAAATTGTCCTCGTAACAAATGCAACCGACCGGATGATCAAGCCTCTCTGAGCCACTGTCTCCAAACTTCAACACAGGTTCACCATCCATTGTAAACACCTGAATTCTGCTGTTAACAAACTCCGCAACAACAATAAAACGTCCATCGCTTGTAATACAAACACTAGCAGGATTCTTTAACTCTCCGTCTCCATTTCCCTCTTTTCCAAACTTTTTCACAAAGTTCCCTGTTTGTACATTCAACCGCTGTATTCGGTGATTACAATTATCCCCCACCAGAATCTCGTCATCGTTTATGAATGTGACGTCGATTGGACGATTAAATTGCCCATCCTGGTCTCCATGACAACCAGGTTTTCGTACAAATTTTCCTGCCTCATCAAATACCAGGATACAGTGACCTTTACACCCAGCCACAGCAATAACACCTTTACTGTTCACTGCAACCCCGGCTGTACCCGGGGACACTGCTCCCTGAAAGTCTAACTTGCCTGCAAAGTGTAATTGTCGTGCCTTAACTGGAATCAAAAATTCAAGTTCCTGTCCATTTATCTTAACTTCCATTTCATAAGTACCTGGTACTTTCGCTACAAATTTTACTATAAAACTATCGTCTTCTTTTTCACTCATCAGCAAATTGCTCACCCGATCCGCAGGTTCTATGTGTACTTCAACACGATCTGTGTGCTGACTGTCTTTGGTTTCTCCTTCGCTTGATTTGGGAAAAATCAATAGTTCTGCTTCTACACCAGCTTGAAAATTCTGATCCAGTCCTTCCACGGTCGATGCTGGCACATCTGTTTCGCAGAATTTCGTAAATCCAAGACTCAAACTCTCTGGTTCACA